TGTTCATAACTATTAGTATTAATAAGTTGGAAAAATAAAAAATAATTTGAATTCAATGGAATAAAAAGGTCTTTTTCCTAGGAATAAATTTTACAGAAGACACAGACAACTTCTACACATCAAACTGTAATCTTTGCAGAGATAAATTAAAGAAGACCTAAATAAACTGAGTAATATACCATGTTCATGTATTGGAAGACTCGATAAATATAAGCTGCCATTTCTCCTTAAATTGATCTCTAATGTAAAAGTCTATCAGGTTATTTGTATAAAAATTGACATCGTTGTTTTAAAATTTATATAAAAATGCAAAGAACCTAGAACAGCCTAGAAACAATCTTAAAAACAAGAATGTATAAAGCTTAGAGTATGGAGTCATATTGGTGGAGAGAGAAATAGACAAATTGTAGAGAGTTGAGAGTCTGGAAACAGATTGATTCATATAAAATCATTTGATTTATAACAAAGATTACATTCAAATTCAGTGGCGGGGGGTATTAACAGTCTTTTTGGCAAGTCAAATATATTATATACAAAGTAAATCTTGACTCCTGACTCATATTATAATCAATTTATTGCAGAGACACAAATATAAAGGTAAAACAATAAATGCTGTAGAGAAAAAAGGATAATTTCTTAAGCCTTTCAGATATGCAATGATATTTAAATGAGAAAGAAAAAGTCTAATTAAACATAAAATAAAAGATTGATGAATTTGGCCTACTCTTTGTGGCCCTGTGGACTGTAGCCCACCAGGCTCCTCTGTCCATGGTATTTTCCAGGCAAGAATACTGGAGTGGTTGCCATTTCCTACTCCAGGGGATATTTCTGTCCCAGGGATCGAAACCTTGTCTCTTGTGTCTCCTGCATTGGCAGGTGGGTTCTTTACCACTAAGCCACCTAGAAAGCCCCATAACAATTAAAAACTGCTCACCAAAATAAACATCAAAAGAATAAATAATAATTCCCTTTTGACTGGCCCTAAAGTTCAGTTTTATCTGGCAACCCTAAACTGCCCCATACTAGGTGGACACCTGGAACATTCTATGGAAGGTTTTAAAGCTTTCAGAATTTTTTGTTTGTTTACTTGTTTATTTTTTAAAAGTAGTGATTGTGAAAAGACTCCACTTGAAGGATGTCAAATACCAAGAGTAAGAAAGGCCATTATTCAAGTCAAATCATTAAATATGAGTTTGTAAATGGGGCTTGAGAAAGGTATAAATTGACATTAAGTAATTCTGGAAATTCTGATTCCTTTAGCATCACTTTTCACATAATAACAGTCAGTCAGTTCAGTCGCTCTGGTCCGACTCTGTGACCCCATGAACCGCAGCACGCCAGGCCTCCCTGTCCATCACCAACTCCTGGAGTTTACTCAAACTCATGTCCATTGAGTTGGTGATGCCATCCAGCCATCTCATCCTCTGTCGTCCCCTTCTCCTCCTGCCCCCAATCCCTCCCAGCATCAGGGTCTCTTCAAATGAGTCAGTTCTTCGCATCAGGTGGCCAAAGTATTGGAGTTTCACCTTCAACATCAGTCCTTCCAATGAACACTCAGGACTGATCTCCTTTAGGATGGACTGGTTAGATCTCCTTGCAGTGCAAGGGAGTTTATGATAACAGAAAAATCAGATAATTTTAAATATAAATGAAATATGCAAAGCCATGTTAAAATGTATTTGTAATTTTTAGAAAGACATGACTTCTTGAAGCAGACTTAAGCACTGGCATTAGAATCATCTAACACCGCGTGCACTAAACATTCACTAGTTGCCTATTTGACAAAGAGAGAACCACAAAGATGGTCTCAGGACCCACTAAAGATAAGAACAAAACCAGACGACTAGTCTGGGCTTCTATATATAGCCTGTGTTCTGCAAGTGCATGCATCCTTATACCTTAAGAAGAATGGATGTGAAAATAAAAAGGATTTGCAAAAAGTTTTCCTCATCAGACAATGAAGATTATATGAGGAATAGAAATTTCTATATTACAAAGCTTCTTTGTAGCATTTCAGACTTGAAATTTGCTTGCTTGTACAAGTGGACAACAAATAGTTCTCTGTAAGTGTATGTGTGTGTCTGCATGTGTGGATATAGAACGCTAGAGCAAGTCATTATTTACATCAGTAATCAAGTCACATTTGTTTCAGTTTGTCTGTTTTGCAGTAGTTAAGAACATGGCCTCTAGATTCTGAGCTGCCTAGTTTGATTTCAGAGTTACACCATTTAATATGGATGATTGAGTTATTTTTATTAACCTCTTTCATTTTGAGTTTCCTTGTCCATATAACACAGCTGATCAAACTCTACCTTATACGTAATAAGGTATAATGTCAATAATTAATGGGAGGGTGAATGTAAAGCATTTGAGTTCTGAGACAAATTAAATGTTCAAAACATGGTTGATATTATTGTTTACCTCATATTATTGAAAGCATTTTATAAGCTTAGGGTAAAAAGAATCTTTGTAAAAGAAGTTAAGCATATTTGAATGCATAAAAATTAACATTCTATCAAAAAGAAGAAGCCCATGGTATTAAAACACATTCTAAGAAAATCTACAAGTTGGAATCAGCTATGCCAGACCAGATTAAATGTATCTATTGTGCTCATGGTGGAAGAGATGCTAAATTCCTCATTTTAAATAAACTGTCAGCAGCTGTGATTAGACCCTTTCCCCTTCAGCTTTCTAACAGGTGATAAAAAAAGATCTCATACTACTATTCTAACACACACTGAACAATACGTAAAAGAAATTCTGAAGTCTTCAAGGCAGGAGAGTGAGCCTTGATGCTTTTGTCCTTGTGCGGAATTCCAAAGTATGTTTGATGGACAAACATTTCCTCCCCTTCTTGTAGCTGAGATATGGATGACTCTCTTCCTGGATATCAAGTAAAGGAAGCACCAAGAAATTTACTTATAAAACATAGTGATTCATGAAAGGAGGGGAGACTGATCTGTCATTTCTCTGTTTGGAAACTTTTGATAAATTCTATTTTTTTCAAATTGGTTCATGGTAATGTGTATTACTTGATATAGTAACAAAACATTTTATTTTGAATGTAGTGAAAAGTTAATGGAACCTTAACAGCAAATGTTTTATTGTAGCTGTTACCATCTGTCACATTTGCTGTCCACAGAGCAATACCTCATTATTCAGAAATGAATATTGAGCAGCAGTTAAATTGATCTATAATTTCTTGTGTAAAATGTGTATACAAATATGAATGAATAAGAAAAACAGATAAATAATTTTTAAAAATGCATACTTGATGAATTGTATGTTAAGGATGGCCTACTGATAAGCATTTAAAATGATTTAAACATAAAATGGTTTTTCTCAGTTGGCTAGTAATGCTTCACATTCTCCAAAAACCAAGTGAAAAACATCTCAAAATACTATAGGTGCTCAAATGTTTTTCTCCTATAAGAAATTTTAAAATATTTTGATGATAGAATTTAAATGAGTATATTACTATAGAAATGTATCATTGAGATTAAGGACATTTAGGAATATTCAGTTTCAGTGAGTTATTTTTCAACTGCTAACCTAAGGAAATGCAAGATTCCTTCAGGGAATAAAAATGTTGCCCTGATCACTTAGATCGGAAGAGGCATCAAGGATTGGAAAGGATCCACAAAGGAAAGGAAGAAGCCACTGACCATGTCGTCTTTGCAATTCTGTCCAGAACCTAACTTCTGTATGCTCATTTTAGAAACAGGAGTGCATCGCCCCGGTACTTGGGTTTTTCAAGCAGTATCCTTCTACTCGTAGCTGTGGGCCCTAATTAAATCCAGGAAATGGTGGGTAGGTTTGCTATGCCACTCAAGGACAGAGGAGCCTGGCAGGCTACAGTCCTTGGGGTTACAAAGAGTCAGACTTGGCTTAAGGGACTGAGCACACACACACACACACACACACACACGCACACACACACACTAGGGGTGGAATTCTCCACAGGCCTCGTTTCCAACCTAAGTTCCCTGTGAGAGAAAACATCTGGATGGCTTTTTCCCCATTAGGATGACTCACTCATTTATCTCCCTGTAACTTTAACCTGAACTCATTATCCAATGGCCCTATGAACTTATGGCCTTTGTCCTTCAAAGATTCAGGAAATTTCCTGCTTAGGAAAACTATAGCTTTCAGAGCCTTTTGCAAACTCAGCTACAAATTCTGATATCTAATTTATACCAAACTCACCTTAATATGCATATATGAGAACAAGTGGGAAATATTGATGAATACGGTCTAAGCAAATTTTTAGTGTCACATGAATATTTAATCAATTTTTTGCCTCTGAGAAAATTGAACTGAATGATCCACTGTATAATAGATCTATATTATTTTTTCTTTAGTCCTTTCTGATTAATTTTTCCAAATTTGACATTATGAACAGTCAGAAAATTCCTAATGTCAGTGATGCAATATCTTGCTTTATGTATTTCCCTTACAATTACTTGTCATTATCTCTCTTTATTCTGCCTTCAAAAACACTGTAAATGCTTTCCCAGTGTTCTTTGCAGAGCTGCTTTCACCTCCTTGTTCCTCAGGCTGTAGATGAGAGGATTCAGCATGGGAATGACTACACTATACAGCACAGAGAAGACCAGCTCCAGAGAGGATCCTGAGGTTGGCGTGAAATAACGGAGAAAACCTGAACCATAGAACAAGATTACTGTGGTGAGGTGGGAGGAGCATGTAGAGAAAGCTTTGCTTCTGCCAGAGGTAGAGGTGATGCTCAAGATGGTGGAGACTATGCAGGCGTAAGAGAAGAAGATTGAGAGGGAAGTTACAAGGCCATGTGGGATGAGGGAACAGAACATGACAATGAGGTTGGTGGAAACATCTGAGCAAGAGAGAAGGAAGAGAGAGGGCAGTTCACAGCTGTAGTGTGGAATGATATGGGTATCACAGAAGTCCATTTTCATTGCCAGAGGGACATTGATGAGTGTGTTCAGAATGCCCAGGCTCCATGAACCCCACACAAGCAGTACATACCGCTGTTTACTCATCACCTGGTCGTAGAGTAGTGGTTGGCAGATGGCGACATAGCGGTCATAGGCCATGACTGAGAGTAGATAGGCTTCAGTCCCTGCAGTGATAAGCACAAAGAAAACCTGAGCCAGACAGCTCTCTACTGAAATGGTTTTCCTTTTAGAAAGGAGGTTTTCCAACATCTTGGGCACAGTAACAGAAGAGAAACAGAGATCTAAGAAGGAGAGGTGACTCAGGAAGTAGTACATGGGGGTGTGAAGGTGAGAATCAGCCCTGATTACCAGCATCATTGTCATGTTTCCTGTCAAGGTCAGGAGGTAAACCAGCAGGAACAGCACAAAGAGCAGAGCCTGGACATGGGGATCACTAGACAGCCCGAGGAGGATAAATTCCATGATGGTGCTGTGGTTTCCCAAGGCCATTTACAGAGACTTGTCCCTAAATATGATAAAGAAAAGCATGACAGTGAAATTTCTACTATCCTTCTCCAAGCAGTTTTCATACTGTACTGATTGTCTTTTAATATCACAAGTATTCAGGAAATATGACTTCAACTTGGGTCAAGTTTTGTGTCAGTCTCATGGAACATAGAGAATAAAATTCACTGCTAATTTTTTAAAAGGCAGTAGTTCAAAAAAGAATATAAAAATAGAGGTAAGTAATTGAAACAGTGTGATTAACTTCAGTGGAACTCTGTGATTTAGAGAAAAGTCGGTGATATCATCTAATTTAAGGTAGTGGAGCAAAATTGTTAAGGGTAAGTATCATTTCTCTATGGAGCCATGGAATGGAAGCACGTGTAGATTGAGGTAGCTGTGTAGATGGACTTCCCTGTGGCTCAGATGGTAAAGTGTCTGCCTACAATGCAGGAGACCCAGGTTCAATCCCTGGGTTGGGAAGATCTCCTGTGTAGACGTTCAAGGCCTTCAAGAGCTAGAATTGACACTGCAAAAAGATGTTCTTTTCATCATAGGAGACTAGAATGCAAGAGTAGGAAGTCAATAGATACCTGGAGTAACAGGCAAATTTGGCCTTGGAGTACAAAATGGAGCAGGGCATACACTAGCAGAGTTTTGCCAAGAGAACGCACTGGTCATAGCAAACACCTTCTTCTAACAATATAAGAGATGATGCTACACATGAGCATCACTGGATGGTCAATACCAAAGTCAGATTGATTATATTCTTTGCTGAGGTTGCAGAAGCTCTATACAGATCACAAAATCCTTATTGTAAAATTCAGACGTATCGAAGAAAGTAGGCAAAACCACTAGACCATTCAGGTATGACCTGAATCAAATTCTTAATGATTATACAGTTTAAGTGACAAATATTTAAGGGATTAGATCTGAATTAGATCTAATCTTCAGAATTAGAATGCCTGAAGATCTATGGATGGAGATTCATAACATTGTACAGGAGGCAGTGATCAAAACCATTCCCAAGAAAAAGAAATGCAAAAAGGCAAAATGGTTGTCTGAGGAGGCCTTACAAATAGCTGAGAAAGAGGAGAAGTGAAAGGCAAAGGACAAAAGGAAAGATATAGCCATCTGAATGCAGAGTTCCAAAAAATAGCAAGGAGAGACTAGAAAGGCTTCCTAGGTGAACAATGCAATGAAATAGAGAAAAACAATAAAATGGGAAAGACTAGAGATCTCTTCAAGAAAATTAGACATACCAAGGGAACATTTCATGAAAAGATGGGCACAATAAAGGACAGCAATGGTATGGACCTAACAGAGGCAGGAGATATTAAGAGGTGGCAAGAATACATAGAAGAACTATCCCAAAAAGATCTTAATGACTTGGATAACATGATGGTGTGATTACTCACCTAGAGCCAGACATCCTGTAGTGTGAAGTCAAATGGTCCTTAGAAAGCATCACTACGAATAATGGTAGTGGAGGTGATGGAAATCCGGCTGAGCTATTTCAAATCCTAAAATATGATGCTGTTAAAGTGCTAGACTCAATATGCCAGCAAATTTGGAAAACTCAGCAGTGGCCACAGGACTGGCAAAGGTCAGTTTTCATTCCAGTCTCAAGGAAAGGCAATGCAATGCCAAAGAATGCTCAAACTACTGCACAGTTGCACTCATTTCACAAGCTAGCAAAGTAATGCTCAAAATTCTCCAAGTTAGGCTTCAACAGTACGTGAACCAAGAACTCTCAGATGTTCAAGCTGGATTTAGAAAAGGCAAAGGAACCAGAGATAAATTTGCCAACATCTATTGGATCATAGAAAAAGCAAGAGAATTCCAGAAAAACATCTACTTCTGCTTCATTGACTAGGCTAAAGCCTTTGACTGGGTAGGTCTCAACAAACTGGAAAATTTTTAAAGAGATGAAAATACCAGATCACCTGACATGCCTCCTGCGAAACCTGTATGCAGGTCAAGAAGCAAGTTAGAACCAGATATGGAACAACAGACTGGTTCCAAATTGGGAAAGGAGTACGTCAAGGATATATATTGTCACCCTGCTTATTTAACTTAAATGCAGAGTACATCATGCAAAATGCCAGGCTGGATGAAGCAGAAACTGGAATCAAGATTGCCAGGAGAAATATCAGCAACCTCAGATATGCAGATGACACCACCCTTAAGGCAGAAAGCGAAGAGGACCTAAGGAGTCTCTTGATGAAGGTGAAAGAGGAGAGTGAAAAACCTGGCTTAAAACTACTGCATTCTAGATGCTTGCAGTAACACAACATTCAAAAAACTAAGAATGTGGCATCTGGTCCCATCACTTCATGGCAAATATATGGGGAAACAATGGAAATAGTGACAGACTTTATCTTCTTGGGTTTCAAAATCACTGCAGATTGTGACTGCAGCCATGAAATTAAAGATGCTTGCTCCTTGGAAGTAAAGCTATGACAAACCTAGACAGCATATTAAAAAGCGGAGACATTACTTTGCCAGCAAAAGTCTGTCTAGTTAAAGCTATGGTTTTTCCAATAGTCATGTATGGCTGATGGACCATAAAGAAGGCTGAGTGCTGAAGAATTGATGCTTTTGAACTGTGGTGTTAAGAGAAGACTCTTGAGAGTCCCTTTGACTGCAGAAAGAGCAAACCAGTCAGTCCTAAAGGAAATTGGTACTGAATATTCATTGGAAGGACTCATGCTAAAGCTGAAGCTTCAATACTTTAACCACCTGATAGGAAGAGTGGACTAATTAGAAAAGACCCTGATGCTGGGAAAGATTGAAGGCAGGAGGAGAAGGGGATAACAGAGGACAAGATGGTTGGTTGGCCTCACTGACTCAATGGACATGAGTTTGAGTAAGCTCTGGGAGATGGCAAAGGACAGGGAAACCTGGCATGCTGCAGTCCATGGGGTTGCAAAGAGTCAGACACCACTAAGCAAATGAACAACAACAACAAAGCTGTGTACCAGGAGATTTAGGGTTGAGAAGCAGCAAGATATGTTTGGTAAAACATTGACATTTCTTAATACCTAGAGCTCAGTATATGGGTAAAAAACCTAGTACAATGTCTGAAGATGTAGGCTCTTGCATTAGACTAGGATCAAATCCCAGCTGCACCTTGTGCATGTTACATAATTTTCCTAGACTTCTGTTTCCTTGCTGAAAATTGGGGTCACAATAGATTACCCTGTTAGAGTTGTTATGAGAGTTAGGTGTGATAACACATGAATTGTGTTTAAAAAAAATCTGTACAGTATTACTCAATGTAATAATAATCATTATTATTTGTAATTATAATTTAGCCTACAAAAATAATATCCTCAGGTAGGATGATCCTCTATCACAGTTAAAGCTGTTCTTTCTACTTTTGATCCTCTTACTTTACTGAAGGGGGTGTAATAAAGTCATTTTGAAATCACTAAAGGTAACTGTTCTCCTTTTCTCATCTTCCAGTTGAAGAGATGGCATTTGGAAACACTCTGGCATTTGGAATCACACTGATGTGTCCAAGTATCAAATAACTTGAAGTTATTGAGGACAGCATTGTTCAGGAGGAAAGGGCAGCCAGACTCAAGAAATGACGAGGAAAAGAGAACGTGGACCCTTGGCTCCTGTCCTAAAATTACTTTCTGGGGTGGATGTGTATTCCATGAAGTGTCAGGCCTCCATTCGAATAAGGAAGAGGTGATTAAAGGAGTACTGTGCCAGGGTTCGTGGCATGGACCACTCACTCGGGCATGGTAGTAAAGTAGGGAGACAAGTGGGCTTCCCTGGTGGTTCAGTGGTAAAGCATCTGCCTGCAATGTAGGAAATGTTGGTTTGAGCCCTGGGTCAGGAAGATCCCCTGGAGAAGGAAATGGCTACCCATTCTAGTATTCTTGCCTGGGAAATTCCACGGACAGAGGAGCCTGGCAGGCTACAGTCCATGGGATCGCAAAGAGCTGGACACAACTGAGCAGGCACCCAGGGCAGGGTCCCAAATTCCTAGAATTTGAGAGCTTGCCAGGACACCTAAATTATTTTAGAATCACCAGTTGTGGCTGTTTCCTGTGCCGCAAGAAGAAATCCTTACTAAATAATATTTCTGTGCTTATTCTAAGGCTTCTTTTTAAAAATTTTATTTATTTTTTTTTTACTATTTTTTTTTTTTAGTTCATCACATTTTATTTTTTATTTTTTTTAATTTTTTTTTATTTTTTATTTATTTATTTATTTATTTTTTATCACAACCATAGTGTATCTTTTTTTTTTTACATGTATTCCCCATCCCGGTCCTCCCTCCCACCTCCCTCTCCACCCAATCCCTCTGGGTCTTCCCAGTGCACCAGGCCCGAGCACTTGTCTCATGCACCCAACCTGGGCTGGTGAACTGTTTCACCCTAGATAATATACGTGTTTCAATGCTGTTCTCTTGAAACATCCCACCCTCGCCTTCTCCCAGAGTCCACAAGTCTGTTCTATACATAGGAGTCTCTTTTTCTGTTTTGCACATAGGGTTATCGTTACCATCTTTCTAAATTCCATATATATGTGTTAGTATACTGTAATGGTCTTTATCTTTCTGGCTTACTTCGCTCTGTATAATGGGCTCCAGTTTCATCCATCTCATTAGAACCATGGAATATTACTCAGCCATTAAAAAGAATTCATTTTTTTTTACTATTTTTTAATTGAAGTACAGCTAATTCAGTGTGTTGGTTTGGGGCATATAGCAAAGTGATTCAGTGATATTCAGTGATATGTACATATATTCAGATTCTTTTCTATTATAGCTTATTATAAGAAATTGAATATGGTTCCCTGTACTATACAGTACATCCAGTAAGGAATCCATCTGCAGTGCAGAAGACGTGGGTTCAGTTCCTGAGTTGGGAAGATGCCCTGGAAGAGGAAATGGCAACCCACTCCAGTATTCTTGTCTGGAAAATTCCATGGCAGAGGGCCCTGGCAGGCTTCAGTCCACAGGGTCACAAAGGGTCAGACATGATTGA